GGTGTATAAACAATTTATGTAAAGCTAGTTGAAATAAATTAAGACTAATGATAGTAGAATAACTATTACAAAAATAATCTATACATAAAATTTCTTTAGTTAATCAATCCACTGAGTCCACAAGCAGTGTAGACACTGTACTTGACACTGATAATGACCATGAGGCCCGCCATCCACCTTCAAAACAACCAGCAACACAACTTGACGATATAGCCAATTGTGTAGGAAGCCATTTGAGTGATTCTGACAAATATCAAATTTTGAAGACACATTCCAACCCCGAGATCAGTAACACTTTCCCAAAAAGGCAAGGAGAGTCGTTCATTCCAGCATCAATGGCTTCGCCAATTTCCATGGTTGGTATACAGCAGTCAGGAGAATGGTGGATACTGTCTCCCATGTGTCCTCTTCGCCACTAGAGGATATCACAATTCTGATCCGGGAGTGCTTGTCAGTAAACCGCTCACAAACTTCAAGAAAGCTCTGGATAGTTTACGTAACCATGTACGAAAAGAACATCATCTAAATTCCATAGTTCGTCGAGACAATTTTTTGAAAGTGATGAGTCAACAACAGCCTTCTATTAGCTCTGTCCTCAATCAAACAACTGCCAACCAAGTCGCCCATAACAGATTGAAACTGGCTTCAATAAGCAAAACCATTGTTCTATGTGGGCGACAAAACATCAGCTTACGAGGACACCGAGACAACTTCACTGATATTGAAAGAGATACTGCCGGTTTACATAACCACGGGAACTTCATGGCCCTACTCAATTTTAGGCTAGATGCTGGTGATGTTGTTCTCAGAGACCATCTATCAAAAGCATCCCGTATTGCTACATACACATCCTCTGTCATCCAGAATCAGCTTATGGATATTTTATCAAAACAAGTACGACAGCATATAATTGATATAGTTGAGGTAGCTAAGTGGTTTTGTATAACAGCCGATGAGGTCACTGATGTCTCTAATAAGGAGATACTCAGCTTGGTAGTATGGTATTGTGAGCCTGATTCTCTTCTTCCTCGTGAAGACCTTGTTGGCTTTTTTCAGTGCAATGAAGGTATTACTGTGCAACAGCTAGCCAATATGATCCTCACCCATCTGCAGTCATTTGATCTTGATCTCTTCTATTTACGGGGACAGGCATATGATGGAGCAGGCAATATGTCTGGGTCTATTAGAGGTACAGCAGCTATTATTACAGAGCAACACTCCTAGGCACTATAACTTCATTGTGCTTCCCATTGCCTAAATTTAGTTGTTGTGAAATCTTTGGCATTGACCAGTGTAAGAAACATGATGAATATAGTCAGGAAAGTATACTTCTTTGAGGCTCACCTTAAAAGACAAAGAAAGCTAGAAGATGTCATTTCTGACACACAACCCTCTTCTACCTTCAATAAGCTAAAGGATCTTTGTCGTACTCGATGGGTCCAACGACTAGATGCTTTCACTATTTTCTCCTCTCTCTATCAGTCTGTACTGGCATGCTTTGAGAGTATTTATCTTGATGGTCCTGCCCTATGGTCAAATGACTCTATAACAGATGCTAATACCTTAAGGCATGCCATTACCATTACTGATTTCATTTCCAGCTTTGTCATCACTAAGTCATCCCTTCAGTATCTACACTCCTTGACCGCAAATCTCCAGGGAAGCTCCACAGACATCATACATGCTGTGAAGGAAATAGAAACCATAACATCAACAATTCAGAACATAAGAGATAACATTGACACCTACCATGATGAATGGTTTACTGAAATCAAGGAGGTGTGTGACACTGCTGGCACAGTTCCATCTACTCCACGTACCTGTGCTCGTCAAGCTCATTGTAGCAATACACCTGCCAGTTCCCCTTCAGAGCACTACCTTCACACAATATCCATTCCCCTTATTGACCATTTGTTATTTGAGCTAAAATCTAGGTTTTCTAGTCATCAACCTGTGGCTTTACTTAGCCTCTGTATCGTACCTTCAGCAATGCTAGTTTTGCCTGTTCCTGAATTTTTGACGCATTCATTTCAGTTGGCTGACAAGTATAAGGATGATCTTCTATCTCCAAATTCCTTTGCCAGTGAATGAGAGTGCTGGAAAGTTAAGTGGCAGAGGTTTGCTGAAGAACACTGAACAACTAACCTCCCAAGTGACCTGGCAACCGCACTTCAATAAGTCTCCTCAATGTATTCGAACATAACAGTCCTCCTAAAGATTCTTTCCACTCTTCCAGTTACTACGTGTTCTGCTGAGAGGTCATTTAGCTCGCTTAAAAGGACAAAGACGCCTTATCATTCAACAATGACAACAGAGAGACTAACTGGCTTAAGTCTACTTCATATCCATAAAGATATCCAAATCGATGTAGAGGGAGTCATTGATGAATTTAGTCTAGCAAATCTCAGAAAAATGCAGGTGGCAGACATTCTTACAGACTAATTACTGTCGCAGACATTGCTGTCATACATTCCTTTCTGGTTTTTTGTTTGAAAAGACATGAAAAAATGATAGAGAACCGGCCCATCCCACATGCCGCGATACACGTACATCGCACGTGCACCATATGGTCCCACCCCTCATCAATGGCGGCCAATATGGCCGCAAATTAACCATAGAAATGAATGAATGCCTTTTGCTCGCCGTAAAAAGGGGGTGTGGCCATAATCACGGCACGCTTTACACGCACTCACCACGCTCTTCTGGATTCACCAGTGCAATTTAGAGTTTCAGTACTGAACTGTAAATTTTGGTTCTATCCAGAGAATAGTTGTCAATCAATGATGAATTGGTACTGAATTGAAGGATGTGATGGAAGTCTGCCTTAACAATTCAATCAATTTATACTTTTGATTGTTGTATAATTTATTTTGAACTTTTGTCATTGTAAATTCCAAAACTTCAATGTTTGTGTGACTGCCAATTTTTTAATGCGTTTGGGAAATTGCTTTCTCTATTATTCAAGATGTATTTTTTGAATTTTTAGCCACAGCAACTAGTACAAGCACAATTTATATTACATAATGTATGTGGGTACAAACTTTTATGTTCAACTTTCTTGCAAGGTTATTTACTTGTAAAGCTGGAACAGCATTTGTAAAACATGACGTATTAGATATTAAATAAAATACTTCGCATGAGTAAATCATCAAAATGCATCTTTTTCAGGACTGCTACCAATAAATTTGCTTGGGCAGACTATATACACCTTCAGTATTTACAGTAAAGTCCATCACAGTCTCAAAAATTTTTATGCATCAACAGAAATCTATCCCTATCAGCTTCGTGGAAATGAGTGCTCAGTTTTGCACTGGCAGTAAAAAAATTACAAAAAATACAGTTTCAAAATTTATATTTCATTGAAAAAAAATTTGCATTACTTTCCAGAACTAATTCCGAAAAATATAAAATTTACTTTACCTGATGTAATTTTTAATTATTTCCATGTTATATATACCACTGGATATCTCCATACACTGCGTAAAACGGCGGGAAATCATAACATTTTAAAGGAATAGAGGTATGGTTCCATAAGCATAGTTATGATGCATAAGTTGTAATCAATTAATTAGAAATGGCTTAAAGGAACATTACTTTGTTATGCTATTACTAATTAAATGTTTTCTAAACAATGCATCAACTAAAGACACTAAAAATCCAGTTAAAATAGGTAAAGGAATTGTTAGAGTCAGCACAGTACAATTACTTTTATGATCTATTGTATTTCTATAATGTAACTACAATTACAGCCAACATTGATTGCGTTCTTTTCACCAGAAAAATTGTGGATGCAAAGTCCAATTAATAGTAATACAGACAATGAAGTGGTAAACATAATAAATTCTTTTAAATAAGAAGTAGGGTTGTCAATAAATGAAAGGAGCAAGTGGATTACGTTCAATCATAAAATTATTAGTTCAAATGATAATAAATGTTTATTAATAAAGAAGAATTAGTCATAAAAATTATTGAGAAATTTCAAACCCTCCTTTGCAGAAATGAAAATAACAATGAATTGCTGTAGAGTTACACTGAATCCCTACAAATAAATAAATATTGTTGTAATTATTGATTTATGAATCACGTATGAACATAATTTATATATTAAAGACCATTCAAGGAATAAATTAAATTGATCATTGCATATAAAGGCAATGATCTCCTAGCTTGTGAATAAATATTTATTTCTGACTGATTTACTATTGTTTCTATTAAGGCTAATTCAAAATAATACTCTTGTCCTTAAATCTGTTGATGCTGGATTATACAAGAATGTGTCTAAAGGTCAACTTGCCCAAGGTTTTGAATAGAACTTAGTGGTACATTGGCCTACCAGTCATAATGTGAACGAGTATTTCGATTACAAACATCAAAACAAATGCCATTAATTTAAGGCTTTTGCCTAAGTTCAATAACGTTATTGTAGGTTATGCTAAGTAGGATTAAAATATTTAAATAATTTATGACTAATTTATCCTTATTAATTAATGTTTATCACTATTACTTGAACTAAAAAATTATATAATTGGATTCCATCTCCTTGTTTCTTTCATTTTTTGACAACCCTACCATTTTTAATTTAATAGAACTTTTTAAATTTCTAAATCAATGAATTCAATCACTTTTTGCTGAAGACTAGCCTTCATCTAACAGTGCTTTTCGTTAGTACTAGTGTAACTAATACTCAGGTCCATGTTTGACAAGTATGCAAAATTGTGCTTCCAAACAGGTAGTTTCTTGACATTAGTACAATTCGATGGCTGTAGAGACCTTTTCCCTCTTCTATGCCACAATGATCCTCCTCCACTACATCATGCTCTCCTTAAATTTTGATGAGCGTGTTAGGCAGCAGCTAGTACTATAATACAGAATAAAAATATGTCTAAAATTTTGACACCTTTCAATGCCATTAACGAAAGACACACAGAAGCAAATAGTGTCACTTGTCAAAAACGTATAGGGGTTGATCATTTTTTAAATTGATGGCTAACACACACACATA